GGTAAAATTTGAGGTACTTGGTTTCTCTAATTAGTATTTTTAAAATTTTTAGAACCAAATATGTTGGAGACGGCTCAACCAAATATGGACAAACTATATATTTTTGGAATCGAAAAATTGTGCTCTTCAAGAATATAGAACCAAATAAAGGACATCCCATTTGAAAAAAGCTGAAAGCATGAAACATTTCACATTTCTGTCATTCAATTTTTGTTTCTGACCATGGCATGGATTCTAAAAATTTAGTTAAAACTGTACAACTTTTGTATTTACGCCTTCCTTCTTCCTGTAAAGGTAAAGGCTATAGGTGGGGTGTCAATATATTATAAAAAAACAACCTGTACTATTGCGATAAAAAAAAGTAGTACAAAAATGATTAATTATCAATGATTAACCCCAATTTATGTTGGATTCAGGCAAAATCTATAGGCGAGTTCGGTTGATCCTCCACAAGCTTTCTAGATTTTGGGTACATTCAGTGAATCGACAGCACCTTGCAGACTCTCTCCCTGATTAAATCTTCCAAATTTTGACTTCTTCCTTTGTATATAGACCTAACTAATCCTTTAGGTATAATACCTAAATAGCCATATAGGAAATTGTATAAAAAGATCAGATCAGGACTATTCGATATGGTTAATTAATAGTTCTGGGTTCCACTCGGTAAAACAGTTGTTTAAAAAATTTCGTACGTGGGTAATGTTACGAGTTGTGAAACAGTGCGCCATCGTGATTCCATAATATGATATGTGTTCCTTGTTAACGAACCTTCAAATATAACTGGACCAATGATTCTGCTTCTATAAGAATATCACGCCAAACATTCAATGTCTGACGACCCTGGACCCTGGTGTTTAATTTCTAGATACTTCAGTGTGGGGGTTCTCTGAAGCCCATACATGAGTATTTGGTCGGTTATACTCCGGTTGTAATAAACTCAGCTTCATCGCTCCACATAATCTTTAATAAATCATTGTCCCTAGTTTTCCTAACATATAATTACATTTCAGTAGCTATACCAGGTCCTGTGATCATTTGTAAATTATTGTACAGGGTGGTCCAAATTGGACACTTTCTTATGGAAACACCCTTTATTTTTAGAGATAGAAAAAAATTAACCCCCCACTCTGAGGCTCAAATTTCATGAAATCTTGATTGGTGCAAACCGCATTTTGATATTTTTAACCGTTTAGTCGCTAGAGGGCGATTCTCGATTTTGACAGTAAAGCCTCCATAACTTTTTTGTTTATGAAAATAATTTATTTCCGCAAAGACCTTTTGGAAGCACTTTTTCAAGCAGAATTCAGTGACGGTCTCAGTTTTTTTCTGTCTAACTTCGATTTCGAGATATTGACCAAACTCCGACTTTTTTCAATAGGACACCCTATATATTAATAATTCATTAGAAATCTATGCTTTTGCTGATTTCAATGATATAAAGTTCGATAGGTTTATCTCTAACAGTTTTCGAGAAAAAAAAATTATATTTTTGTCATAAGAAACAATGTGTTGGAAAAGGACTTTATCTTTGTCAGGAAACTGAGAAAGGTCTCTTTCTAACACATTGTTTCTTATGACAAAAACCGAAATATTTTTTTTTCTCGAAACCGTTAGAGATAAACTTATCGAGCTTTATCATTGAAATCAGCGAAAGCGTAGCTTTCTAATGAATTATTAATAAATAGGGTGTCCCATTGAAAAAAGTCGGATTTTGGTGAATATCTCGAAATCGAAGCCAGACAGAAAAAATCTGAGAGCGTCACTGAATTCTGCTTGAAAAAGTGCTTCCAAAAGGTCTGTACGAAAATGAATTATTTTCATAAACAAAAAAGTTATGGAGGCTTTACTGTATTGCTCAAAATCGAGAATCGCCCTCTAGCGACTAAACGGTTAAAGATATCAAAATGCGGTTTGCACCAATCAAGATTTCATGAAATTTGAGCCTCAGAGTGGGGGGTTCATTTTTTTCTATCTCTAAAAATAAAGGGTGTTTCCATAAGAAAGTGTCCAATTTGGACCACCCTGTACTGGTACCTAGCATTTTTGGGTGATATTTATATTTATATAAAACAGTTTTTAAAAAAAATCTACTACCGTGCGTAAAGAACTCACTTTACGCACTATTCAGAAGGCGTAAAATTTCACTACACGCACTATCACTTCGCGCAGTGCGTGAAGTAATGTCATTGACAGATGTCGACACTGTCAATTTAATATTTTTCTGGTAAATTACTTCACGCACTAGTGCGTAAAGTATTTGTCTAAATCCATTTTTTTACACATATTGAATTGGTAGGAGAAGTAATTTTGTATGCAATACATGCGTAAAGCACCTTTTTTCACTCATGTGATAGTCGCACTCGCCTTCGGCTCGTGAAAAGAGGTTCACTTTACACACTTATTGCATAAATAAAAATTTTCTAGATTTTCCGAGGTGTTTACTAGCATTTAAGGTAGATAAATTTGAATTTTCTGAAAAAAAAAAATTATAGCTTAGTTTGGGGATTCGTCTTGTCGGTGAGACGAGACTCCTGCGTGTGGGAACTAAAATTAGGATTCCGACAAAATAATGATGGTCTTTTACTATACATGTTCATATTCCTACTACCTTCAAAATACAATAGAATTTGGGGATCTGCATCTTCATCATGCTTCTTCCCGTACCTATAATAAAACGTACAGGGTGATCTATTATAAAATCTCACTTCCTAACTTCTTCATTTGACGTTTTTGACAAAAGTTTTCAATACAAACGTTCTAAAAAATTGTCAAAAGTTTTTAACTAATATCTCAATTAAAAAAAAAAAAAAACAGCATGAGACCTATATGGAGAGATTTTCGCATTTTCTCTATAACTATTGAAGATTAACCGAGAGATAAACATATCAAACCGTATATCGCTGAAATCAGGTTGAAGAGGACTAATAAATAAGCGCACAATATGTATATATAGTCTTCCATTTAAAAAATACAACTTCGCTCTGCTACACTTCTTTGACTCACCCTGTATGTTAAAAAATTTGACAATTTCTTAAAACTTTTGCACTTAACACTTCTGTCAAAAACGTCAAATGAAAAAGTTAGGAGGGGGTGACATTTATAATAAATCACCCTGAACATCTACCTACTATAGGAAATGTTGTTCATTGCAACTGCGATTTATGGTAAAACAATTAAAAGGAATATCAACAAATTATATATTTTTCATCAGGAAAAGAATGTCTATCCAATTGTTAAAAAATATATAGGGTGTTTCCTTTAAAAACAAAAAGAACAAGTTGTGTCTGCCACATCTTTTGCGTGCACCCTGATACAGGGTGGAATTTTTAAATGGAATAAATTCAGTATTAGAAAGCCTGTTTATTTTCTGGAACAATTTAAAAAAACGGGTTCCTTTATTTTTAGTTTAGCACATTTTTTCGGCCTTTTCGTGGAATTTACCCCTCTCTTAAGGGTAGAAACCACCCCCAACTTTTTTTTTCAAATGTAAAGATATGTATTGTGATAGCTCGTTGGAATGGGCATAAAAAAAGGAATATACCTATTATTTACTTTTGCATTTCGGTGATCTAGTTATGTAATTATTTTTGACATTAACACACTATTTTAGGGTTGAGAATCCTAGTATCAGGCATCAAATAATGTGTTAACGTCAGAAATAATTACATAACGTTACAAATGGAGCATGTTTCGCATTAGGGTTCTACCAAGAAGAAATGCTGCAGATATTCAACAATTTTAACTGTAAAAAATTGTGTAGAAAAATATATTTTTATTTTTTTCTCGCTTTCTAGATGACCGAAATGTGAAAGTGAATAATGGGTCATATTCCTTTTTTTATGCCCATTCCAACGAGCTATCACAATACATATCTTTACATTAAAAAAAAAAAAAGTTGGGGTGGTTTCTACCCTTAAGAGAGGGGAGAATTCCATGAAAAGGCCGAAAAAATGTGCCAAACCAAAAATAAAGGAACCCGTTTTTTTAGTTTTTTCCAGAAAATAAACAGGCTTTCTGATGATACTGAATTTATTCCATTTAAAAATTCCACCCTGTATATAAAAGTTATATTTTCTAGCGGTTCTAGGGATTTTATTTACTATATTTTCTTTGTACCTATCTATTTTTAAAAAATTCTACTTTGCTTCATAAGCGAGTTATTATGCTGTCTAAATATACGGGATAACCCTTTACACTTGATTTTATATCTTTACCTCTGATGACCATCATTTTGTTTAATTCTCCATCTGACATCTTGATTCACCCTGTATATTCATCGCCCACGTTCCACAATAAAATTATCACTCAACGATCAAAATTCCTCTAGTCCGTCAAAGTTCGTTTTTCAACCCCCATAACGAGAAGGCGCGCATTTCACCCCCCTTAAAATGGAGTGGTAGGGCTCTAGCCAAGTTCTCATTGGCCCTGGAGCTTTCTTATGCCCGTCTTATACCACGCCCAGCGCTTAGCGGGGATCCGAGGGTGATGATATCCACCCCCGCGGAGCCCCTTAAATACTCGTTTAAATAGGCGCTTTGCGATTAAAATCTAATTTAATAGTAGTTTAGCGAGATTGCGCCGAAGTTGATTGTTTAATGCGATTTGAGGGGGTTGGTGCAGAAGAGAAGCGGGGGGAATAATGGTCTTTTACGGAACAAACGGGAAAATCTACGAGGTGATTTTGTGTGGAAAATAAAGACATTGTGATCGTCGATTACAATGATTTTACGTGGTACTTTAGGGCAAAAGGCTGATTTATATATAGGGTACATTTATGAACTATAGTATGGACCATTATTTATGAAGTTTCAATTAATTTTGGAACACAATCTATTTTTCATTGGTCATTGATTTTCATACGTTCGGACCAACAAAACTCAACAAAGATCATAATACATTATTCATTTCGGCCCCTAAATTTTATATAGGTATACTAGCTAAGCAAACGCTGAGTTAACATTTTAATTTTTTGAAAATAATTCAAATAATTATTATTACAGGTTAAAATCTGGTTCCAAAACAGAAGAATGAAATGGCGTAACTCCAAAGAGAGGGAGCTTTTGGCCGCAGGTGGTTCCAGAGAACAAACTTTACCAAATAAGAACAACCCACATCCAGATCTTAGTGACGCTGACGGTGACAGGCCAAAACTGGACTTATCTGATGTACAGGTAAAAGTAAGAGCTTCCTTTACGTTTAACATTCTATAAATAACCATCTTTATTCTAGGATATCTCTCCAGCCAATTCACCGTCATCTGTATCAGAAACACGGCAATTGTCTAACAACCAAGATATACCAGCTGCTGAAGCAAATCACCAACATTTACTTGGCTCACAAGTATACCAAAGTTCCGGCTATGATGGTATGGACTATGAAAGTTCAAACGATAGTGATGAAGAGATAAATGTCACTTGATTGTCCAAAGATTGATTCACAGCTTATTAAGAACTGACATTTTTTGATATTTAGGAACTTTGAAATATTTTCTTGTAGTTATATTTTTTAATGCTTCATTATATTTCTTTTGTTGTAAATCACATTTCCTGTTTTGGTGTTTCTGAAATTATCCATAATAATTATTGTTTTTACTGATATCAGCAACAAAAAGCAGCACAATCACTGTATTTTGACGTTTATCCTGTATATAAAAATTAAATAACTAACGATGTATAATAATTTTAAATTTATGATGTGCCATATAATTAATTAAAATATCAATGAAAAATTCTGTAGATAGATTTTATTTTACTTCGTGAGAACGTCTTCACTTAGGACAGTTACAGATTCACAATCAGCAAATCCAATTTTGAAGAAACGATGAATTTTTATACAGGTTGTCCGTTTTAAGTGATATCTATACACTATTGCTATCTCCGAAACGGTATATATAGGGTGTTTGGCAGAGGGTTAGCCAAACTTGGTGGGCTTATAGATCGGCCCATTTTGAAGATATTTTATCATATTTTATCAATACACTTGTGTCCTTAAGGTCCCCGTTTTTTTTATATCATTGCTTTTGTAGTATTCTGAAGAATTTTCAAAAATGTACCTTGTGACTTTTGTAATCTTTTTTTAAATATTTATAAAAATCACCGGCGTATACAAGGGGGGGGAGGGTAATGGGGGTAATTACCCCCCCCCCCCCCCCAAGATCGTTGCGATGGACGAAAAATATATACCCTACACCTTACAAATAAATATATTTCTTATATTTCTATTATATACCTACTCTTACAATTCAGGGGTATGTTTGAAAATCACGGCCGGCGGCCGTTAACACCTTTTCGATTTCAATTTCGCTCATGCTATAGGCCAGAGTAAACATTGCAACTGGACACGTTCAACCTGTAGCCCAAGTCTTGAAAAATATCGCATTCGAAATTTGATACGAATTTGACTGATAGCAATGTAAATTAAATAGAAGCGTTCGAAATCATATCAAATTTCGTATGCAATATTTTTCAAGAATTGGGCCCCTGGAGTTAAAACCAACCCGGAGGTGACTCGCTACTGAGAAACTGGCCCATAGTAAGTATGACGAAAAAACTATTATAGAACAGTCAGACCTTTGCCAGACTGCCAAGTTGCCCAAGTACTGCTGCGACGGCGACGTGACTGCGATCTAAAAGCTGACGCTGGATCCCATTATTGTTTCTCTACAGACTTGTTTTCTAGTTTGCACCAGTGTCCGCACTGCCCGCATGCCATTTATAGCGAATTCTATTGAAAGGGATAGTGCGCACTGAGCGTATTCGTGTCTTTTTCTACTAGTTTGCATAAGAAAGAGATAAAAATACATTTTTTGCACTGGTTCTACCTATAGAATCCGCTATAATTTGAAAGTTTTTGGGGAATCCCAGAGTTCGGTTTCAAGTTCGGTCAAAAGTTTTCGTCTCCGGCGGCTGGCTTGGACTAATTACCCCCACCCCCCCCCCCGCCCCCCAGACGCATGAGCTGGATACGCCGGTGATAAAAATGCTAATTATTTCGGTAGTATTTGTGCCTATTTATTACTTTATTAGATCAAGGATACCTCTCGTAATACCCTACAGACCAAAAACACACGAAACAAATATTTTCATAAATAATTTTAAAAAAAAGTTACTTAAGGGCACAAGTGTATTAATAAAATATCTTCGAAATGGGCCTACCTATCTATACGCCCACCAAGTTTGGCTAACCCTCTGCCAAACACCCTGTATACCTATATGAGCTACGAGGTCGGTTAAATTAAACAAAAGTGGCAGATTTTAGGTTATCCTTGGATTTTAGGTCCATTAAAGGTAAGTTCACAGGTTTGCCAAATTTTTGTTCGTTTCCGAGATATGCGCTGGAAAATGTAAAAAATGCCTGAAACGTATTCAATGAATATTTCAAAAATTATCATCTTTAGAAAAAAGTGTTCAATACAAAAGTTCTAAGATTTCTTCTTCTCTATAAAATGGTGTACTTAATTATTATCTTCACACGACTGTCAGTTTTTGAGATATCAGTACCAACTTCATTTTTTCAATTAAGGATCTGGATTTTTTATTTTATTTTTTAAAATAATTTTTTTCTTCCTTTAAAATGACCTATAATAGCTCAGGCGTGTGTCCCGCCGTTTCGGTATGGAAATATGTATCCATCGACCATCATCGACATTTCTTCCCTAGACCTGATGTATTTTACGCCCAGCTAAAATACGGCATTTCATGCTGCATTAGATATATCTTTTTATTCTTTGCCTGAAATTTAGTTTTAGTTTAAGACAGCGATATGTCAAATTTATTGAGAAAAAATAGCGACATAGAGACATGTAAAAATTTATTCAACTACACAAATTTTTAATTTAACTTCAAGATTCAAGACAAATATAAATTATCAAACAAAATTCATATTTAAATTTCTTCAAAAAGGGAACTGGGTAAGTGTTGAAAAATGTTCCTCACCTATATTCAAGGTACCATTGCGTCAAAAAACAGTCAGTCGTATAAAAATTAGTGGAAAATATCAGATCCGTACTAAAAAAAAGTGTTGATGATGGCTATTTCCATACCGAAACGTCAGGAAACACGCGTGAGCAGGTCGTTTTGAAGGAAGAGTAAAATTCTTTCGAAAAATAAATTAAAAAATTCGTCAACTTACAACTTTTTTAATAAATATGTACTAACATACAGTTAATATAGGTAGGTACCTAAGTTTATTGAAGTGAATACTTCTTTGGCCGCATGAGAGTGATTTTTCAAGGTCGCGTCACGACACGATTTATAAAATTTTCGTCTCGCAAGTGAGATGAAGCATATGAGGACTATTGTTCCTAACGCATTAATGTAATATGTACAGGGTATTTGATTATATTTGGCAGCATACCTACAGCTATTTAAGATAGAAAAAAAATTTTAATACAAAACTTGACAGTTTTTTTGTATATTTTCTGATAACGTTATCAGAAAAACAAAATCGCATCGGAAAATGGAGAAACGTAAGCAACTTCGACCTTTTTTAATGGAACACCCTGTATATTATGCGAAAAAATGAAAGATCTATTCTTTCTGATTCCAAATATATGTATATATATATATATATATTGATAACATTTGCGTGAGCAATTTTTGACATATCTCAGGTTAAATTATCAAGAATTTGCAGAGAAGTTCCATATGCGGGAAGAAAAAGTCTTTCATTTTATCGCAAAATTTACAGGGTGTTCCATTTAAAAAAGTCGAAGTTGTTTACGTTTCTCCATTTTCCAATGCGATTTTGTTTTTCTGATAACGTTAAAAGAAAATATAGAAAAAAATTGTCAAGTTTTGTATTTACAACTTTTTTCTATCTTAAATAGTAAAGGCTGTAGGTATGGTGCCAAATATAATCAAATACCCTGTACAATACATCTCTCTCTCTCTCTCTCTCTCACTCACTCACTCACCCCCAACGAATCGATAAATAGGTATTCACTTCTATCACGTGTACTGTGCTGCACGCGACTTTTTTTTTTAGGGCCGGTTTATTCACTTTCTGATAAACTCAGGTATACAATCTGACGGATAAAAACGCAATCTGTAATTCCATTGGTTGGCCAGTTATCCGACGACCAATAGAATTACAGAACGGTAAATTCATTCTTGCAGATAGTTACCAGCAAATTTATCTCAAAATGAATAAACCGGGCCTCAGTCTCAAAATAAAACTACCTAATATACTAAAGATATTTTTCGATTTTTCCCTGCCTGTTTATTTTGTAACAGCAAAATTTAAAATACCTATCACACAATGTATATATTATGAAATGATCATGTAATGAAAGCCATTAATACATGAGCATGTTGTAGGATAAGAAATAAGCCTCAAGCGAGTTTCGTATATAACATGCGAGTGTTTTAATGGCAATTACCTACATGAGAGTTGCATATACTATTTTTTCCACTCCCAGTTAATAAACGAAATTAATACATATTTATTTTAAGAAAAGTAAACTTTCCACTGGTGATGTCATCTATTAACAATTTTGGAAATTAAGATCTAGAGTAATTTGCGCATGAATCCCGTGGTGACGTCACCCGCAGACCTCGATGGATTGATTGCTATTGAGGCAGGCGATTCGAATTGGCTAATAATTCAAGATGTCGATGCGACCCGAAATGTGAACAAACATTGCCTCTATATAATTGTGTGTTATTTCTACTTCTTAGACCCTGCGATAGGGCCTGTTTAGTGGAGCCATTTTTTTTGTCTGGCATTTTGAGGGATGAATGTGACTAGTTAGTTGATGAGAATATACCTACCTAAGTGGTTTTAATGCCTGCCCCCTGTTCGAAATGTCCACAGAATGTTTCGCCGGAAAACTCGACTTCGAACTGTGATTACCGTCTGGCGATTTTTCAGCGTTATTTTCACAAAACCTGCCATTTTCTCGATTACAAGGCAAAAAGTAAACGCGGAAGGTTCTTTTCTTTTCTCTTGGAAGTTGACACTCATCCCCACTTTTTCAGCTATTGAGAAGCATCTGGTATTTTTTATGGGTGAATTATTAATCAATGTCAATCTTTTATTTAGAAGCCAAAAAATTTGAGATCATTAAAAAAAAAATCTTCATGTAAATCAATTTTTTTCTTCTGCAAATTTTCGAACGGGAGGCAGGCATTAAAATCACCCATATTCTCATCAGCTTAGTAGCCACATTCAGTAGCCCTCAAAATGCCAGACAAAAAAAAAATGACTCCACTAAACAGCCCCTATCTAACAGTCTATCTGTTTCAGAATTTAATTTGATGAATTTTAATTTATTCCAATTTCCTTTAACCGTAGTTAAAACTGAGTTACTTGGAATATTTATCTATCAATAAAATACCTGGGCATCAGGCGTATTTCGCTGTCAAAAATGCAGCAATGTATTTTAAATGGGAAAGCTCAAGTACCAGTCGAGTTCAGTTGAAATTTGTTTTGAACCGAGATTGTACAACTGGGCCTAAGGAGTGCTTATCGGCCTCGTTTTTGGTAATCGCCGCCATATTGCTTTTCAACGCAAGTGCAACACTCGTTCTGCACTGATACTTTAAAAAAACTGCACTCGAGCAGTCCCAATGAAACATCATTGTACTGCACCATACGTCAAACTTCAAATATGGAATTTCATTAAAAAAAAATGATATTTGTGCTCATTATAAATAATTATTAAAATATAGTTTAGAAAAAGTTCTTCCCTCTCTGCTAG